AGCCCAAGCTCCAAAATAAGGCTACCTGTGCAGCAGTACATTTCCATTTCCTAGAAATAAGGGGACAGGGAAGGCAACGGCTTGTGCTGCAGCAGTGTGTCACCTGAGGAAACCACACATAGTGAATTTGTTAAGAGTACAGGGGTTTTTAATTGTGGTATCAGCTATGTGTTTCATTCACAAGTCAGGCCTCTGGGATAGCTGCTGTGCAGACACAGGAACATGACAGTCATCAGGCATGGCTCTGCCATCACCACCCTTGCCAGCCCTCAGTTGCCTCCCAGTCCTTCACATTTGGTGCCTTTTGTCACCCACCAGCTGAGGGTCACTACCTCTGCCTGCCTGCTCCTGCACACCTGCAAAAAACCCAAATGCCTCCAAATATCCTTCCAATACCTGATCAACACAGGGGCAATCACCACTCTGGGAAAGTGCCTTCAAACATCCGTGCTGATTGCACCACTTGCACCACTCTTGGAGGAAGATGAGTAACTCTGCTTTGCCCCTAATCAGCCAGCAACAAAATCACCTGAGAACTGATTCAGCAGGTAAACTTCTGATCTACATAAGCTAGCTACCTATGTCAATTAGTTTTAATTATATCCAGAATAAAAAGACCTGCGAACATGAGGTTTTTCTGCAGGCTTTGTTTTCTGTAAGAAATCCTTGTTTCTCTTGGCAAGAGCTTAGCTGAATCGCAACACAAGTCACAGTCAATCAGCAAAACCAAATATTGTTTTGTAGATGTATTGAGGTATGTTCAAAGTTGATTAAGGGAAGAATAATCAAACAAACATCATTATTTAAGACAGCAGAGGGGCTTGAACATTCTAGAGTTGTTTTACAAAAAAAAAAAGCCAAGTATTTCCTCTGGCAGCAATTCCTTTCTAAAACCAGAAGACCATACCCCAACTCATCCTCCTCAGTTTCAAAGCTTCCTCAGAAGGCAGCAAGGGTGAAGAAAGATTTCATTGAGTTTTCTTCCATTATTTTTTCCACCTCTAACATCTGTAATCTTGTCCATACCTTGTAGCTGGCTACAACAAGCTGTACTCCTTTTTAATGTCTCTTCAAATAGCGGTGTCCACCAGTGCTTGGAAAGGGGAGCTTCGCAACCTCCTGAACTCTTTACTTGCCTTTTTGGTTTGGCTCTCATTCAGTGCAGTTTTTCTTGGCAGGTTTTTTTTTGATTGTGGTTTTGTTTGTTTTGGTTTTTTTGGGGTTTGTTTTTTTTTTTTGGGGGGGGGTGTTGTTTTGGGGCTTTTTTCCACTCCAATATATAATTAATTTATGATTCAGCTGTAAAAGCAGCTCAAAAAATATCAGGCTCTGCAAAACAATTACACCCACAGATGCCACTCTGCAGCCTTCCTGGGTCACTAGCAGGACCTCACCACTGCAACTGTATTTGGGTCTCATTAGCTTAACATGTCAACATGCCACCCGCCTTCCAGTAGCATAGACTTCAGAGCCTTTAATGGCATAAAAACAAGCACTTCGTGCTTGTCACTGAGAACATATTGGGCTGAAGGTGAGGACGAACACAAAGAGAAGTGCCAGAAGGTGCCCTTTTCAGAGTGACTTAAATAATTTCCTACGCAAACCCCAATGGTGAGCCCTGCTGTATACAGTAAGCAACTAAAATTGAAGCTACAATAAAACTCACCTAAATGGGTAAAGACAGAGAATTCAGTGGCGCTAAATCAAGTTTTACAGCATTTTAGGATCTGGCTCTCAACTTTGGTTGAGTGCTGCCCGCTAAGGAGACCACCATTAGGAGACTTGAAATTGACCAGACAGGCTCGAAACTGGGCATTTTCCTCAAGAACCTGTTCAAACAGCACTGGCTGAACTGAGGCAAAGCCAATAACCATCAATCCTTTAGTGGCACCAAATCACTGCTCTAGAAACCAGCACAGAAATCCACAGTGCAACTGCCTTAATTTCTCTTATTAACTAGTACAGCAATTTATTCTTGTGAATAATGAACCTTAACACTGGTTCTTTATAAATATGTCCCAAAACAGTCACAATTTACCTCTAGCTGTCCCATAGCAGTTACTGATAAATGGGCCACGTTGCCAAAGGAGGTGTAAAAATCCAAGCAGTTTGGGTTCTTTACAGTAACTACTACCTAGTTGCCCATATTAATTGAGAGAGCGAGCACATTATATAAGAAGATTACACGATGTCATATTTACAATCTCAGTGTCCCTAGCGAGAGGAATTGCTCAGCTGTTACTGTCAGTGCCTTCTTCAAACAGGAACCCTGCTGACAAGATGATGAATTCAGAACATCGTTGCCAATTAATGATTTGTAGGCAGAAGGGATTTCAATAGTTCCCATATGTTTGTGAGGGTGACTCGGATTTACATCACCTCTAATAAGAGAGTGTAGTCTGCTCTGTCCAGACACGACACTAGAGCTTGGAAAATGTCATCTTTGCAGGAGAAATTTTAATAAACAAAGCCAGGCTCTTCTGGGTCAAAAACACTTCCCAAAGTGTGGTCACTAATAACCTGCTTATGCCCAAGTGAAAGCAAGCAGGGAGATCGCTTGCAAGATGCACCCAAGTGATTTACAAACCAAAGGTCAGAAGTTATTTAGGTGTTTGACAAAGCTACACAGCAGAGTGCCAAGATTATCATTATGTCAGCCTGAAGTATGGAGTGCATTTCCTAAACACCAGTCAGGCTGTGGGGCTGGGGGAAGCATCTACAAGCACATAGGACCTTTCTTGGTGTTACTTATTCTGCTTATGGGCTGTGAAGTTTAACTTTACTGTCCTAGAAAAAAAAACCCACCCTTGTGAATATAACAATACCCAGACCAGAAAGGATTTTACTCACACAGAATATCAGCATGAACTCCATACATGCTGAACGCAGACCTCCTGAATGGCCTAAGGCTGAATGTCTCCTCTCCACTCAGCATCTCAGAGCCAACCAGCAGGAAATGCTTAGCATGATGACCTGGGTTAAACACAGGACATCCAAATGGGGCCCTCAAACAGACTTTGCCATAGGCACTCGGATCCCAATGTCCCATTGATTTGATGACAGAACTTAGGGCTTTCCTACAAACAAGAATTATGAGCTTTAACAGCTCTAGAGCATTTAAAGTGATAAACTACTGCCAAAGGTGTGGGCTGTAGGTGAAGTCTAAGGCAAAGGTCCATTGCCACAATGCAGCTTCACGCTTTGAAATTGTGATCACAGTCCTACCCAACACAGTCATAAATTATGGGGCCAGATGCTGTCCTCTCAGTTGATTAAAAGATAAATTAAAAACACAATCCACAACCCAAAATGGAAAGCAGAACCTCAAATCACTAAGGTCATCTGAAAGCACAGCCCAGACTGCTATCGCAGCACTACCAGAGATACAACTGCTCTACAGGCACACTAGCTCTTCAAGACGGTCTCAGGTTTCTAGTTTAAACCAGTCCAGGTTTTTGTTTTGTTTTCTTTTTTTTGCCATTTTGTTTTTTGTTTCTTTTTGAGATCTTTTAGAGTGCTTTGAGATATCCAGTGTTGCTCATGCACCATGGGAAAGCAGGATTTGAAAGGCGTTTCCTCCAGAAATTCTTACAGGTGACTGAAGTCAGTGTCCAGACATAGCACCCAACCAGTGCATCTTATTTTGGGACACAGTATTTTAGCCATAATGAAGCAGATCCTTGCTGATCTGACCCACATCCCTCATTTGTGACAGTCTAGATTTCCCCAGCTTGGGCTAATGTCTATCTTAGCTCCCCTTGTGCAGTATCAAACATCAAGTCCAACTCTTCTTCCACCTAAATGCAAGAAGTATCTTTAGTGACACAGGAAAAGCAAAACCAAATCAGATTTTGCTGTATCGACTACATCTGCAGAAAAAGGAGACTATCCTGGTCAAAAAACACACTCCACATGCTGTTTACTAGAGGTTTCTTCAAAAACAAACATACTACATTTTCTCTCCACGTCAATCTGTGAAGAGACTTGAACTATGTATTTTCAGGGGCACAGTGTGTGACCAAGGACTAAAGGATCAAGGCCACAGTTTGCTTTGGATATGCACTGATCTATCCTTTGCACCAACACTACAAACACCAATAACGAGTATCTGGAGTGAGAGGAAGAGAAAATGCAACACCGACTTCAGCTGGAGCAGAATCCCTCTGCCTTCCTCACAGGTTATCTGTTACTAAGTGGCTGCAAGTACAAGACAATCAAGATGGGACTGATGACCAACATGTAATAATTTTGCAAAAAGCAAACTGCATTGAAATCTTTTTTTTCCTTCCCCTTCTCTTTTATGTCCAAACCAGTTTTAAGCTACCTGTTACATATTTACAACGGAAGAGCAAATTCTATAAACAAATATACAGAAAAACATAAAATGAGATTATACACTCTTAAGAGGAGTATGTTGCACTTCTTTCAAAGTATTCTTCTTTAAGTGTTGAGGTTCAGATACCCTAGATCTCTTGCACAAGTACCCTGATGATACAGGAGACATATGCTAACTAGCAACTCAGGAATCTCAGCCAGCTACTTGAGTGCAAACTTCAGTACATATGGAAGCATTTTTATCAGTGGGGCTTTGGGTTTAACTCTATACAGCTGAGCAGCTCTGTATTAAAACTATTTAATAAAGAGGAAAAAACAATCAACTCTCACCACATCAAATTTCCACCCCTTCATACAGTGATAAAGAGAGAATAACATACTCTAAATACAGAAACAAAACACATCTTGTAACTTCAAACATTCCCTGGTACAGTCCAGAAAAAAGAAACCAAGCTTCTAAAATTTGTAATGAAACCCTGACGTTGTGGAAAAGTAATGTTAAGCTTTAAATAACAGATAAGATTGCAACCGCCTTATGGACCCAACAGTACAGTGCTCCAAAGGTAATAGTGGTGTACGAGATCCTCCTTGTCCACAGCCGTCTAAGTCCCACTACATCCAGCCAAGGCCTCTCTCTTCATGCTGTCACAGTCACTCAAAAGACTTCAGTGGAAGTGAGAACCCAACCCACCATTGTCAACTCAACCAGGCATGAAGGACATGGAAAAGAAGAAAACCAAGACCACACACAACCTCGGCAGCCTCAGCACAGTACCCTCCCTGAGGACCCTTACCTTGGCAGGTGTTGTTCTTCTCCTCGTACCCTGCCTTGCACAAGCACTTCCCGATGGGCACCAGCCATTCCCCCTCAGCACTGCAGTGCATCTTTGGTGCCTCGTCTGTCACTGAGTGGTTGACACAGACACCTGACACCTCCAGCAGCTGCGAGGAATCTGCTCCTGTGATGGTATCAGGAAAGCGGGCCAGGTTGCGGATCACCGATGGACATTTCTTGTAGTACACGCGCACAGAGACCAGGGCGATGCAGGCACCCACGTCCTGGAAAGCAAGGTAAAATCCCTTTTTCGTTAGGGGCCCAACATCTCTCACCTCTGTGTTTAGCTTCATAACTCTGTCGCCGAGGTCCAACTCTGTGAAGCTCTCATCAGCAGCAATGGTATCAATCTTGATGTACTGGTTTTCTTTGATATTCCTCCCATCTTCATCATCTGATTCAAAGTAATACATGTTAAAAGTCTCTTTGCAAGTCCCAAGTCCTCCTGGAAGGCTGTTACAGTCCCTCAGGGTGAATTTTAACTCAATGAAGATGCGAGATGCCCCCTCATTAGAGATCCAGCTGGTCAGAAGCCAGTTGTTCTGATTCTGTTCCATTACCTTGCATACTTGGTATGTGTGTATCGGAGCGTAGTTTTCATCCACCTCACCAATTTCTTCCCACTGTATAAAAAGCAAAAGTATTACTTATAAAGTAAGTTACAGCTCCCACAAAATCCTAGCTTTCCCATCTAAGAGCACTTTGGGCTTCAGAGGTTCAAGAGAACTTTTAGAGGGAAAAAATGTTTTAAATGGTGACGTTTTCCATACTGGAGGCTTGATACGTTCCAGATAAAGTCAGATAAAAGACTCTTTCAACTTACAAAAGGGTGCTAGTTACAACCTTTTGTTTCAGACATTTAAGCAGTGGGACAACATACTGCTGGGTTTGTCCACTAGTACTTAGTTAGGGAAGAAAACGAAGCAGATGGGGTCTTGAGCTGGCCTTTTCCAATGCATCCACATAGGAGAAAAAAAGCTATTTACAGTCCATCTGCCCTCACTTCCCCAGGGCTCCTTTCTACCACATCCTCAAATCACTGCCCAATGCAATGAGGATGACCACATTTCTCCAAGCTATTCTCCCCCACCAAACAGCGTGTCAGAAAATCAGCAGAGTGATATATGAAATAAATGGGCCTTTGTTTTCCCCAAGTGTGCTAGTCAAAGGAGCTCCTGCTCATGCAAAGAGACTATTTCCAGTAAAGGTTACAGGGATCTGCAAATCTTGAGCTGTGTTACACAGGTTTTTAAGCAGAGCTCCAGATAACTTCTCACAGCTTTTCGTGGGAATTGTAGCAACTGGTTTTTCATTTTGTTTTGGCCACGCTCTGAAGTGCATCACTCGGAAGGAATGGTTTTTCCTGATCCAGCACACCACAGTCAGTAGCACCACAACAGTGCCTACAATAAAGACACAATGTTACTGTTTCCTCTCTGCTTTGGACAACTGTAGCATCACATTAAGAGATTAGACTAACCCACGTAAGTACAGAGAAGAACTCAGGAGAACCAGTGACGGTTTCAGTTTTGTTCCCTTCTACTTTTGACCTGCTCATCTACAAGTGCTTAATTGCCAAAGCCTCTTCCATCCTCTGCTCAGTGTTGCTGCCAGCATCTAGTCACAGCTGCGCATATAGCACAAAGCAAATGCACAAGCACAATTTAAAGGTGGAACACAAGGTAATAGCTATTCCAAGCTGCATGTCTTCTAAGGCCAAAGGCCAACTGGTTTTCATTGGAAATATAGCCTGAGATGAAGTTGAGAGCCTTCTCAACCCAGATACCATTACTGCAGAACTGACAGCGAACACCCTCAGAGTCAACATAACAATGAAGTGGTTTTTTTAGGGAAATGCTGTTCTTAAATTTTAAATTAAAATGGCAGCAACAAATGGCATGAAAACTGATGCTACAGTCCAAAAAAAGTTACAAATACTAGCAGCAGAAAAGCATTTCCCCTCCTCCATAACCTGGGATGTGAAAGTGGGGATTTCTGCAATTTCAGCAAGACATGCCCGCTGTGATGCACACAGTTCACATGTACCATGAGTCTTCCAAGTGAGGAACCTAACCTGAGGACATTTTTGTCATGCTAAGCAGTACTTTTATTTCTAAACCCTTTTTATGTTCCTGGGCTTAAACAGGTCATGACCCTACTGTGGTTAACATGTATTTAATGCCTTCTTCACCTCAGTCTTTAACAGTTAGACAAGCAATCCACAAGGTGATCAGCCCCCTGACCTGGAAGACAGTGTCTGAGAGCAGAATAAACCCCTTGTAATTCAGGAGGAAGCAGTTAAAGACCTGCTTTGCCTCGTGGACATCCACAAGTCTATGGGGCAGGATGGGATCCACCCCAGAGTACTGAGGGAGCTGGCAGAGGAGCTGGCCAAACCGCTCTCCATCATTTATCAGAAGTCCTGGTTAACAGGGGAGGTCCCAGATGACTGGAGAGTTGCCAATGTGTCACCCATCTACAAGAAGGGCCGGAAGAAGGATCCGGGGAACTATAGGCCTGTCAGCCTGACCCCAGTGCTGGGGAAGATTATGGAGCGGTTGAGGGCACTCACATGGCAGGTGCAGGACAACAAGGGACTCAGGCCCAGCCAGTGTGGGTTCATGAAGGGCAGGTCCTGCTTAACCAACATGATCTCCTTCTATGACCAGGTGACCTGCCTAGTTAATGAGCGGAAGGCTGTGGATGTCATCTACCTGGACGTTAGTAAAGGATTTGACACCATCTCCCACAGCATTCTCCTAAGAAAGCTGGTGGCTCATGGCCTAGGCAGCTGCACACTAAGATGGGTAAAAAACTGGACAGATGAGCACAGAGAGTGGTGGTGAATGGAATTCAATCCAGCTAGTGGCCAGTCACAACCAGTGTCCCCCAGGGCTCAGTATTGGGACCGGTATTGTTTAACATCTTTATTGATGATCTGGATGAGGGGATTGAGTGTTCCCTCAGTAAGTTTGCAGTTGACACCTCAGTAAGTTTGCAGTTGACACCAAATTTGGTGGGAGTGTTGATCTGCTCGAGGGTAGGAAGGCTCTGCAGAGGGACCTGGACAGGCTGGATCGATGGGCTGAGGCCAGTGCTATGAGGTTTAACAAGGCCCAGTGCTGGGTCCTGCACTTGGGTCACAACAACCCCATGCAGCGCTACAGGCTGCGGGATGAGTGGCTGGAAAGCTGCCTGGCAGGAAAGGACCTGGGGGTACTGGTCGACAGCTGGCTGAACACGAGCCGGCAGTGTGCCCAGGTGGCCAAGAAGGCCAACAGCATCCTGGCCTCTATCAGCAATAGTGTGGCCAGCAGAAGTGAAGTGATTGTGCCCCTGTACTCAGCACCTCGAATCCTGTGTGCAGTTTTGGGCCCCTGACTACAAGAAAGACATTGAGGTGCTGGAGCGTGACCAGAGAAGGGCAACGAAGCTGGTGAAGAGTCTGGAGAACAGGTCTTACGAGAAGTGGCTGAGGGAACTGGGGTTGTTTAATCTGGGGAAAGGGAGCCTGGGCAGAGACATTATTGCTCGCTACCACTATTGTAGTGAGGTGGGGGGTCAGTCTCTTCTCCCAAGTAACAAGTGACAGGACAAGAGGAAACTACCTCAAGTTGTGCCAGGAGAGGTTTAGATTGGACATTAGCAAAAATTTCTTTACTGAAAGAGCGGTCAGACATTGGAACAGGCTGTCCAGGGAAGTGGTGGAGTCACCATTCCCTGGAGGTGTTCAAAAAACGTGTAGATGTGGCACTTCAGGACAAGGTTTAGTGGGCATAGTGGTATTAGGTCAACGGTTGTACTTGATCATCTCAGAGTTCTGTTCCAACCTCATGATTCTATACTTGTCACTTTACCCTTCCTGATACTGCCACAGAGTTATCTGGAGCTATGCCTGCAGTTAAAGGCAGGCAGATCTATGTAGGAGTCATGCCTAACTTTGAGAAGAGACAATTACCAATTACAAAGAGTAGAGCCATTAAGAAAACACCCAGGAAAGTATGCAAGATAGCACAGATTTGCAGCTAGCTTTTCTACGTTACAGGAAATAGGGTGGGTTTAAATATATGAAATTAAAAAGCAGACAAGTACCATTCTTCAACTACTGTGATTAATTTGTTAAATATGCTGTACATACATGCTTCCAAGTGGATTAGTTTAACATGATACTATATAAATGTGAAGTCTTATTTTTATCACAGCAGCAATTCTCCCTTCGATGAAAAGGGAAGGTAACCCTCCACTCCCCCCAACCTAGGCAGAGGTCCCTGCTGAATCAGCCTGGGGTGCAGGTGAACACATCCCAATAATAGTCCAGGAAAGACCTCAACAACTTCAGACCTCTGGTTTTTCTGGCTGAAGGTCAGAGGACTACTCTACAATCACACACATCAACCAGCGGATATGGAGAAGTGTTAACCTCTAGTAGGAGGTGGTGAAAAGCATTTGAGGGCTGGAAATCGCTCATACCAGTTCCAGCAAGCAGGGATGTGTTTGGATGGCCACAAGGTACACAGTGCAACCTCCGTACAACATTAGGGAACATCTACTGTGCATCTCTTTCACAGAACTGACATTTGCAGCCACTGTGATGTTGCAGCGGTATCATTAGTGACCTTACCTGAAGGCATATCAGAAAACATCATTTCTCCTTTTAATACCTGTGAGATCAATTTTCAAAGATCCAACTATCGTGCTCTCCAGAGTTACAAAGTTAAGCTCACTTCCATCACTGGTCCAGGACTTGTGTTAGTGGGAATAAGAAGGCTTGTTTGTGCAAAAACTAAATCCAGTTACTCTAATAGTTGCTTTCATGCACTGAGAGCACTAAACACTGTAAGAAGGAAGGTTCAAGCATAAACACATCAACTGAGCTAGAGTCTAAGCTCAGCTGCAAGAAACAGCACACGACTAACATCTCAGGCTTCAGGACGTGCTGCATTTCCAGCACCGCACCCCGGATCAGAGCAAGTGCTGCCATCATCACCTGCCATCGAACCTAAAGCAATCATCACAGAGCAAGAGGAAAGGGAGGTGCTAATGAGCTAAGGCTGCTTATCTCCATATAATCCTCAAGGGAAAGCCAACTGGATTTTATCAGAGCAGCCACTATTGTGCAAAACCTCTGCGCTGTCATTTAATCCTATCTTCTTCTCTCCTATCTGCATGTAAGAGTGCACCATTTATTTCCCTTCAGCTGGTTCTGCCTCCCCCCAGAGACTGCAGGCAGCCTGCCACCCTTCTGCTTTTACACCCCTCCACGAGAAGGAGATGCACATAAAAGCCCCTGCACCTTCTGCCTGGTCTCAGCTTCCCAATCACTACAGACCTCACACAAGTATTTCAACCGACAAAGGAATACAAAATAGAGGATGAAATGCAGCGCCTTACAGTTAATGAAAAAGAAAACTCACCACATTAAAGAGACAGCATCTAGCTGAAAATACTGCCATAAAAAATTAAGTACAACTGAAAAATTGTGTAATATTATAATTCCTTTCTGCAGCACGTATTTTTGAGATATAAATCAACCCCATCTGCAGGATTAAAACAAAAATGCAACCATTAATTTGGTGCTAAATGTTTTCTCTATGTCTTTAATAGCCCTAAGAAGGAAAACACA